ATGTGCAGGGATAGTTTTGTTGCCTTGTACAATTGAAACATATATGGTTTTCTGAACCAATGTCATCCCAATAAATTCAATTAAAAAGTAATAATAAGTGGCTTGTACCACCTAATTAGTGTTGGGGTGGACACGCGGAGCGCTTCTGGGTCTGAGGGTCACTGTCCGGAGCCAGCTGAGGAGAAAGCGGGGCTCTGAATCCCGCAGAGCCCGTCCCCGGGGTTGTCACGGATGGGGAATAAACACGAGTTGCTGCAAACTCTTCTCCGTCTGCCAGGAGAGGGGGCGTGGCTCTTTCCTCTAGTGGGGAAGGCACGGAGCCTGTTTCTCCAAAAGCTTTTATTGAAAAAGGGCTAGGTAATAGGTGATCTCCTTACATCAGTATGTTAATGTTTACAGAGAACAGATGATGTTTTTAAGAAAACAAATGGCAGGAACACATCAATTTACATGGGTCTGAGAGGAAACTAGTAAACATGAGAGCGTAAACATAAGAGCGCCAAAGGGTTTAGGGTGAGGGTCTGTGAATAATGTAAATTGCCTTCCCAGCATGAGCTGGCTATCATACCTTTTGAGGGGAGGAAAAAAAAAAAAAAGCATGCTTTAAAGAATTTACTGTTAGGCCTGATTTCCTCTGGGAACAGCTAGATGCAGTTTAGGACTGTCTCCAGTATTGTTTCAAGCCAGAGCCAGGTGGGGGGAGGGAGATGCCGAGAGACAAGGAGACTTCTTTCAGAAAGAATGAGGACCCTGGCCATGTCAAAGCCAAGCCAAGAGGTGCGGGTCTTTTTGTCCTTTTTCCATGCCCCCAAGTTTTTGTCCTGATGGCCATCAGCTGTGCCTGGCTTAGGTTGTCCGTTCCACCAAGGGATATTGCCTATCATTGACTACCGGGCATCTCAGGGCCAGGCAGGATGATGGGAAGGAGGGAGGGGCTGCGCGCCTGCCTGGGGGACAGGTTTCACCGCCTGTTTTCCCAAGGCCCCCTTGATTATTTCCAGCCTTAGCCCTCGTCTGTCAGCGGGGCTACTACAGTCCCTGAAACCAGACAGGGCATCTCCCAACAAATTAGAATATGAGCAATACATATGCATGATTGCATATACAAACATGTATTTGTACAAATATACAAAGATATTTATGCAATAAATATAGGTTAAAATAAGTATTTTTTTACTTAACGAATTGGAAACTTTAAAAAGCTATTCCTTTCCTTTAAAATCACAAGCTCAAAATTATGTATGAATGAGAAAAAGACCATTAATAATGACTTATTTCTATCCATCTGACTATAAATTTTTATATATAAAAGGCACATATTATTGATAATGAGACAGATACTGGAAAATTATTGTTTAGGCAAATACTATCAATGTTGAGAGCGTAAGTAGTTTAGCAGAGTCACAATTTTTCCCAAGGGGAATTTTCTAAATAATGGCTTAGCCACTACCTCTCAGTGCTAGAAAAGCATAGGATGATTTCTTAGCTCAGACTCTAGATGATATATGTAAGTTTTTATATCCCTGGACATGCATGAGTTATGCCTTAATAATTACGTAACCTGGAAAACAATGACCTTAAGGACCAAAGGAAACCATAAGTAATTATACAGAGTTTATCACATTAAAATACACTGAAACTGTTATATCTCTGAAAGATATGGCAAGAAGATGCTATGGACACTTCCAACAGACCCCACTAACAAATGGCCTGTGGAAGCAGAGCCTTATTAGATTTTAATCTCCTACTGTCCTTCCTGGAGCCATCCTGACTTGAGTTGTCAGGACTTGAGTTGAGGTGTTAAGCACCTAGAGTTGTTGTTTATTTCCATTTTATGAAATAACATATTTGGGTCCTCTTCGGTTAGGTTTACTAAGTGATTTATTGTCCAAAATGGAACAATAAGCATAAACTGGGACTGCCCTATTGAACACTGTATCCATAGGGGAGAGCATGACTGTGTGCCGCTCCAGATTCAGCATATTAAAATGCAGCAGGCGAGAATAGAGAAAGAGACAGAGAGAATGAGTAAGTACACCAAAGGCAGACTGGAAAGGGAAAGAAAAATAAAGAGCATCAAGTCATCTGATGGTTATGTGCAGAAGAGGGAGCTGCTTTATTTACTGACTTGGGGACAGGAAGGAATTCCATGATTGTATCTGAGCCTCAAAGTATCTGTTTAATGACAGCGAATATCCTCTCTACACTATCCAGGCAGAATATATACACATATTATATGTGTTATGTTATATCTACATACATATATACATATCTTACATAGATAACAAATATGTAATAATTGTCTAGCACTAACATATCCTCCAAATTTGCACTTTTCATACCTGATTTAAATGATTTTGAAATCATTATTAGATACAAGATTATACACATATGTATTTATGTATATATTGTGTATATATGTATAGGATTTACTATAAATACATATGTGAATATATCCAGTGCTAACTCTTAGATGTGCAAAATTATTTAAGCCCCAATGCTCACTCTTAGATTTTCAGAATCATTTCAGTCAACCTGGAAAAATATCTACTGTATTGTTGTATTCAGATGTGGTTACCTGTTAAAATCTACTTACTGATATATTTTCTTGCTCAAGATTAAGATGTAATCTAATTTAAGAATCACTTTCGATTGCAGGGAAGAAAATACATGTTAAAAATCCACAGTGATTTCAAGTACTATCCCAATTTCAGAAATAGAATATTATGACTTGACATCATGGACCTAGACAACAGCGTGGTCACCTCGGCAGGGAGGCAGACACAGGCGGACTAAATGGCAATGGAGAAAAAGTACAGTTAAAACAATTCAAAATATACATATATATATATAACCATGGGTGAAGACATATGCAAAAAATAAGAAACTCTCTAAAGAAAATATGTGAGCTATTTTAATAAATACTGAGAGCTAACAATTTAACTGATATGGTTCGAATTAGGACTCTGGGTATCAGCGGACTCCAGATATTAAATCAAGCAGGAAATTGTGTGTGTGCATGCACAGGCACATAGAATAAACATACTATGGTTTATTATTTTTCCTAAACCATCGCCACAGAAATCACAAATTACAGCAGAGTTAATTCGAAGCAAGCCAGGAATGATGTAGCATATATGACCATAAGTTTCCATGATAAATAAGAACAAATATATTAAATCCTACAGATATATGACCCATAGCCAATTACAGAGCATTGATTTTCCCAGAGGCTAATGTAAAACTCATGTACCCTATAACAGTTCTATTTTCATTCTCTCCTATAACTCAAATCTATTCATGCTACATGATTACTTTTGCATAATATTATATTTTAGTTATCTGAGCTATTTCATCTGTAAAAATAGAAATTCTTGCTTCTCATTTTAAATGAGCACCTTTGGAAGCGCTCTATTATTTTCTCTAAGATCTTTCTATCACCTTGGTTATTTTTTTGAAGTATATGATGTCTTATATTCATTCACATATCACGTAACTGCATGCTGCAAACTTTAAAAATACATATAAAAAGAAAGTTACTCAGGAATTTAATTTGATGAATTGGATTATATTTCTGTCTCCAAGGACTAAACCCTGGACATTTGATACATTGAGAAGTTCATATTAAAAATAATAATCCCAAAAGAAGTGAATACTATTATTTAAGGGGAAACAAAGAAATATTTTCTAAACCAAATTTTATTGAATAAAAAATAAATATGGGTAGTAGAATAGAAATGGAATAAAAAAAGGCAAAGTGGGTTCTTACGCATGGAGATAAGGACCACATAAAAAATAAAGAACCAATAAAAACATAAAACCTGGACATTTTATTTTTCTTAGCCTTGGGATCTAATCTCAGCTGAAATCAGAAAGGAATTTAGTCTGAAGTGCCCAAACAGAACTGTATTGTATCCACTCATGAAACAAGAATGGCACAAATTTTTATCCAAGACAATTCAACAACATGAATTAATAATTATGGTATTAAACAGAGATTAGGGCTGAGCATTCCTCAAATCTACCCATTTTTTTTAGGACAAGTGTCTATCTACTGAAAAACATGGGAATACTCTCTAGACTTCAACATCTGACATTTCCAGCTACCCATCGTCTGTAGCATGTATGTTTCCTTCTGCTCATAATGGTCACTGTTGCTTTTTTTCCTCATATCTTTAGATTTTGCATTTTTCATTAGCTGCAATTAGCAAGGGAATCCCTTTCTTATATACATAAGGTTCATTCAAACTAGCATCATCCTTTCATCCTTTTAAGACATCCTGGGAGTTCTCTAAACCTTCTACTTTAGGTGTATGGACCACGCTACAGGCAATTATTTCAGAGAATGCTCACGGAGAAATAAGCATTAAGAAGTTACTGAGTAACAAGAGCCAGACTGACTTGCCTAGATAATTCTCTTCTGCAAAAAACTCTCTTTTGTCATTTTTCCCCAGATACTTTTATCAAGGAATGCATCAGCCTTTCTGACCTACAGCCAAACCACAATAAGTGTGGTTGTGGATTAACAGCAACAGCCTCATATGGGAACTTGGAGAAATGCAAATTCCAGGTCCTACCCCTAACCAACTAAATCGAGACTCAGGGGATGGAAGAGATGGGGGGAGGGTGCACAGGTCAGGAGACATTCCACACGTAACCAAAATATTTGTTTTCTCAGTTCTAGACCCACAGTTTTACCCCAGTGAGGAAAAGCATTTTTTTTTTTGACTCAATAAAGCCTTTAGTATTTTCAGGACCAGGCTAGTATTTATCTGAAGGTTCTAGTTAAGAACTGAGCAGCTTCCTCCCAGGCTCTAAAGCTGTCTCACCGTGTTTACTAGCATGGGAATGAAGGACAGCAGAGGGAGAGCATGGGGACACTTGAGCCACAGACACAACCATAGAGGTTAGTCAGGTAAGCACTTTCACAGTCTCCAAATCTTGCCCTCAAAACTGTCTATCTTTTTATAACTGACTTTTCTTGTGTCATTTTTCCCCAGATACCTTTATCAATGAATGTGTCAACCTTTCTGGCATACGACCAGCCCACAATAAGTTACTGTGGGGTGCACCACGAACTTCTCTCTCATAAGTCCTTTGAAACGAACGCACAGGAAGATCCGATGGAAACACACCTAGAGACTGAGCTGGACCTGAGCACAATCACAGCAGCTGGCCGGATCAGTGACCATAAACAGCACCTGGCTTAACTGAGCTACTTGGTAGCCAAGGGTTGCCACCACACTTTGTAACCTCAAGGACAAAATGAGGAAGATCTGTTCATTGTGGACTCTAAAAACAAAACAAAAAAATCCCCTGTTAAAAATAAACAAAAATCCAAGATTGATTCATGAAATAAAGAAGACATGAATTGTTTCAAGTCTACACTTTGTAATTAGCTAAGTTGTGCAGTATTTTTTTGACTTAGAGTATTTCCCTGAAAAAAGAAAACCTTTTTTCCCAAAACTCATCCTACCTATCTGTAAAAACTGTACAGAGCTAATGTATTTTTCATATTGTAAAATTTCAATTATACAAACAACTGGTATGTACAGTACCATAATTTAATTACATTTTATGTTATAAACTTTACACATTTCAGTTTCTAAAATTTTAAATTAACAAAAATTATTTCTTGTGTTATTCAGAGTTACTCAGTTTTGTAGGGACTGTTTTGTTACTGCTTTTGTGCCCAGAAACCTTGACTCTGAAATTCTGTGCTGTGAGAAACATGCACGATTTTTATCATGCTACTGCGTAGAATTTTATCTACTTGTTCCAGAAATAATACATTAACCAAAAAGGGTTTAATTGTTGATGCTTGTTAAGAAGTTCTTCAATTACATAGCCAGGTTTTTCTTATAAATGAAAAAAAAATCAGAGTTTTTTTAACACTTCACAGACTTAACTGTTGCCTTGAATTACAGCCTAGTTTCTAAGCAGTGAAATGTAATCATAAAGAGGGATATTTTAACAACATATTTCCGAATGAATGACTCATTATTTCATTCTTTTGAGCAACCCATTGTTAAGGGTGGGAGGGAAGCATGGCCAAAACATCACTGGAAACAAAGGCCGTAACCACAGCAACAGACTTTGAAACACTTAAAAGGTGCAACTGTCAGTGACAAAGAAAAACTTGTTACATGTCATTATTTTCAGGCCAAGGTGGAAGAATAGAGCGTAATTGTACAGTAGCAATTTTTCTCCTAATTAACCCAAAGTAGTTTACCTAAAAATAATCATCAGTCAGTACAAAATGTGCCTGATTTTTAAGACAACTTCTTATTTAGAAATATGAGGCTATATTTTGGGAACATCTCAGAGAAAATATGCAGATCTTTTACCTTTGTGTGCCACATGAGTTGTCTTCTAGGAGAGGCGTCTAAACTTCTACAGCTCATTCAACATAGATAAGAGCTGTGGTGGGGAACTTCATCTCCCAAGTAGGCTACAGATAACCCAATATGTTCTAAATTGTTTATGTTGCAGTCCATAAAAAGATTCACTTCCAAATTATCAGCAAAAATAACCTGGAGTAATTTGAAACCACTTCAGATCATATATTGATTATACAATTGTATCATACGGTTAATTCAAATCAAATTATGAATACCTGACCTTTTAGAGGCTGAAATAATCAACTTGTTTCTGGTGTTTGTTTGACATAGGTTACTGTTTGAAAATATTGGTTATTGTTGAAAATATTGCTAATTTATCTCTGATATTCACACATTCATTTGTGTTTTTAATATAAAACTGCAAGTTTCATTTGCTATTGCACTAGGAGAAGTGCTTTCTTATGTTGTCATTTTATAATCATGACATCAAAAATAGGTTGAAAATATGTCAATCTACCAGGGGTCAATCAAAAACAATGAAGAAAACAATTTGTGAAAACCAATGTCAAATGTTTAATTTTTTATTCCCTCCAAAGAAATCATGTAAATAAAAGTCTAGTTTTATCATAACAAATTTACGAGCAGCTTCAAGAAGAATGAACTTAAAAAATATACAGCAAATTTTTTTTAAATATCCAGTCAGAAAGAAAAAATATTTTGAGAGAAGCAAATTCTTTTACTAATTTAAATCAAACTAAATGTCACAGTACTTGTATCAATTATTTAACATCCCATATTTTGTAACATATTTTGCATAAATTATTTGCTATTCAAAAATTTTTATCATTTTAAGTCAAATTTTTATTTTTATTCTCAATTTCTAACTTCTTTGCAGACTATTCTTAATCCTCTAAGTTGAGAATTTGCTTTGCAGTTAGCAAATTTATATAAATTATAAATTTATTATTTGTGTCTAAAATCAAATGCAAAATTTATTACTATGTAAATCAAAATGTCATTTGCAATTTTTCTTATTAGAAGTTGGCCTTGCAAATATTCAAACATCATTTAATTTGCATAAATAAGCAGTTTATACTTATTTCCAGACATTTTCAAATTGATAAATGACTTTAAAAATTTTTAGATTCTAGGGAGCCTCACAGATACATGCCCTTGGTTTTCTGAAGCAAACCACTTTCTTTCAACATTTTAAGTTCATCTAAAGTGAAAAACTTAAATAGAATCAGTCACCTTGGAAACCTAGCTCTGTGAGGACTTACTACAGTAAGAGCCAAATAAACTAAGAATTTTGAGATTTTTCATGTTTGAAATTAAACTCAAAACATCATCTTTAACAAAAAAGAAGAAGAGGAGGAGGAGAAGGAGGAGGGAGAAGAAGAAGCTGCTGCTGCTGCTGCTGCTGCTGTTGCTGGGTTATCCGCTTCATTTTTATCCTGCCGTGTCCAGGGGTAGGGGGTGGTGGGAGTAAAGACCTGCTAGAGAAGTTTGTGTCTGGAATCGTTACCATATACTTGCAATTTATGTATTATATTTGTGTCTAAAATCTTTATTTCTAACCTACTTTTTTCAGCATTTGATAATCCTCCTAACCACCTTCTCCCCATGTCTCCTTTCCTGTCTATGCTCATTTGTTTAAACAACTGAAATGTTTGTGTTTGGAGTTGAAAAATGCAGAATTTGACCCAACATGGTTACAACAACAGCGATACCTGTGGCAAACAATAAAGGTATGCAGTGTTGAGATTTATAACCACACTTCACATAAATTATCTCATTTTGTCTTCATAATCATCCTATGAAGACACATTAGTCTCAAAGAACTTGAGACTCACCCAAGAACACACGGCTAATAGTGGAGTTGAATTAATATCAAAATTCAGACCCTGTTAGTCTCTCCTCTATACGAAAAGCCTACTCTCTCTGACTGGAGCCAGTGTATTTCCAGGGACAGTGAACAGAATGAAAAAAAAAAAATGTTTAACATTTTGTTTAGTAATTCCTAATTTAGGTCAGTTCCTCTGTCTGTATAATATATGGGCTAAGTGAACTTTTCCTATGTGTTATTCTGGGCTCTCACATTAAAACTCTTTGTTCAAAAAGCATAACAAGTTATAGACTTGTTAACATATCATATCTGTAAATAGAACAGTTACTTACAGGAAGTGGATATATATTGGCCCCAAGGTAGACATAAAACCAAGAAGCACAAGAAAAGAAACCAAAGATAATCTAAATTGAGATTGCGTGGGTATTATAAAACACATCCACAGTGCAAGTTTATACACATGTTCCACTGAACATATAATAAATTCAGAGCTAATTTGGAAGAACTTTATAAATCTTTTGTCCTTTTTTTGTTCCAACAAGAGTACTTCTTGAACTATGAATTCTTGTACATATTTTAATAGAGAACTTTTTCTGTTCTCCTAATAGTGAATTGAAATTTATCCAAACTGATGAATAGAAGCTAAAACATGCTAACAGATGAGTGATATTTTACTAATTAGCTCATTTTTAATCAAATCTCTTGCCCTACTTGCTCCTGAATATTCTAGAAAACCATACAGATTTCAATATAAATTACATTTCTAAGGAAAGAAAACACACCCATATATAACATTCAAGACAAATGACATGTACTGGCCAGATTGCTCAGCTGGTGAAAGCATCATCCCAGACACCAGGGGGTTTCAGGTTCTACCCCAGGTCTGGGTCGGGGCACATGCAGGAGGCAGCCCATCCATGTTTCTCTCTCACACTGATCTCTCTCTCCCCCACACCGCCTCCTGCCCCTCCACTTCCTGTCTTTCTAAAATCAATAAACATATTATCCTTGGAAGAGGATAAAAAAATAAAAAGGACAAATGACATAATCCCGATTTGAAATCAGATCAGTCTGACTCCCCAAACTGCTAAGAAATAGCAAGACCTTTTTGCAAAAATATTTTCTAAAGTAAAACCACCATATATGGGAGTAAAAATATTTATTTGTTGTTGTCTGCTCCTAACTAGAAAACAGATGTCATCTCTCAAACTAAACATTAAAAATAAGTAAAGAAACTGAAAGCATAATAATATATACTGATGTGAATTGTCAGAAAGCTGGAAGAAAGAAAATCATATGTGCTGAGGAGACGACAGTATATAAAGGAAGAGAAAATGGGACTGGCAGATAACGGGTTTCAGGAAACATGGCGGTGAGAAATCTCTAGCATAGTTACACCTTAACACTGGCATAGCTCTTAACAGTTTCTCACTCTGGGAAATAAGTAAGTAAGTAAGTAAATAAATAAATAAATCTGGTAACACATAAATGTTGCAGGTCCCGATGGGTTGGTTATGCAGTGAGAATCCAGATGAGTTGGTCTCATAGTAAGACCTTCCCGCTACTTCTATTACCTCCTCAACTCACCACAACTGTTCCTAACAAAAGGAGTGCCAATGGCAAGGGATCCAAGATCAATGCTTTCAAAATTCAGACACGCCCATCAGGGTAGATTGACAACAAGTAATTGTGCTTCATTTTACTATCAAATGTAATAGGAAAAAATATTTGAAAATTAAAAACAAAAAAAATACCAGAGTAATGACTGGTTATTTTTAGAGGTCTCTCATGGCTTGTATTATGATTTTATTGTGAGATGAGTCTGCTTATATTTAACATTTTAAAATTTAGAGTAAAATTCATGTTTAAAAAAATTTACAGTTGATCTTAAAGCAAGAGAGTGCTTCAGCCATCTAGGACTTAGGGAATTCTTTGTTTCTTCCTCCTTTTTCCCCCAAACATTAATAGATTTTGTTTTATAAATATGTCTTCCTAAAATGCTAAGTGCAAATTTGTTTTGTATAAATAAAATACTATTTAAAATGTAACA